TATATATATATATATATATATATATATATATATATGTACATATGTATGTATGTATATGCAATATGCTGATAAGGGTTAAGAGCGAGTATAACTGGTCGAAAGCAGCACAGCCAGCGGTCGTACGTGACCCATCCGAACGTATACTATTTGCAAGACTGTTGCCCCAAACAGTTGGCAATAAACTACAGAGCCACAAGTATGCAGCACACACTGCAAAGCTTGGATGTCTAACACACAAGAGATTTAAGGTTATATATACCACGTGCATAAGAAGGGGCTGGAGCCTCGTCCCCATTAATAAATGTTACACATAAAAGGCATCGACAGCGCGGCAATTGCGAAATTCAACTAGCCACGTATAAAATATCTGTTCCGCTCATATTCATATATCATATAAAAATATGCATTTGGTATATGTAGATACATATGTGCGTATCATATTTAGTTGGTTTAGTTCAGTATCAAATTCTTTGTTATGTCAATTTCTCGAAGAGTTCAGGGTAGCTCGAAGTAGAGCATTGCTTACTCGTATTTCTGTTTTGTAAAGTTATTAGCCAAAATAAATTAAAACTATGTAAACAATATATTATATTTATTTTTACTCAATTTATAAACATTTTTAATCTGATCCATTTCCAAGCATTAAAACAATATAAAATTTATTTCTTTCTTGATGACGCAGTCATGAGCACTTCTATTGATAATTTTATTTGTAGGGATTGTCTGGGTTAAGCAAAATAGTACATCTGTTGAGGGGTCAGGCTTTGGTTTCTCAGTGCCCATTATAAAACCTGTTAAAATATTCTTTTTTTTTTTTATCTATTCTATTCTATCTTTGAACTAGTCATTATTGAAGTGTGCTTTTTTAGTGATCTTAATGGAGCTAATACGGAATGCTGACAACTCAAAGCTCAAATCAGTAGTACATCAGGTCAAAAACCAATTGAGAGCCAAATAAAACAGAATATGATATTAAATAATTGAATGCATTGCATAGATTATAAGACTTAAAAAAAAAAGTAAGAAAGCTGTAGTCGAGACTGCTCGACTATCAGATCCCCTGAACCCTTCGAGAAACTGATATTTCATCATAATAATCATGATAGCTCTTTGCTTCTTTCTGCTTACACAAGAAATGCACACACTCACAGACACTTATACGCACGCACATACATACTTGGGTTGTAGTGTGGGCTTCATATGGGAACTTAATTGTTTAATAAATTTTCTTGTGAATGTACCTTCTTCTCGTGGATGTACTTCTTCACTTTCCGATTATGATCATAACATGGTTATGTATGCATTTGCCAAAGCAGAAGTCTCTAGTATTTGCAATACGCCTTTTACAGAATTATGGATGACGGGGTGGATATAGGGGTGAGGGATAAATTTTAACAAAAATTGAAATTGTATAAAATAATGCATCTTAATATATATTTTACATTTTGAGACGCTATCTTTAAAGATGTAGGAGATATAACTTTATAACTGTTTTTGGAGAAGTTTTTATTGATAAAAAAATAACGAGATGAGTTATAGTTTCTTAGTGATAAGCTCGATATCCGCGCGATATATACGAACATTATAAAAAAAGTTCTCTAAAAAAAAAGTCTCTAGCTCTTATATCTTCTAAGATCGATCGTACAAACATACGGACAGATGGACGCACGGATGGACGGAAAGGGCTATATCGACTTAGCTCGTCATTGTGATCAAGAATATATATACTTTGTGGGGTCTGCCACGCCTCCTTCTGCCTGTTACATACATTTAAAAAAACCAGTTTAATGGGTACAGGGTATAAAAACAAAATATTGCGTTTGTTATTTATGAAAATAAGATTTTCTTCTTAATAATTTTATGAATGCTTGCGCTGGTCTACGTTAATCGGGATTCAGTCGAGTCAACGCACTATATCATTGAAAATGAATATTTCAAATTAAGCTTGCTCTAAATAATAAGGTATGGCTTTGTCGTCAACGTCTATAAATAGCCGTTAAATGGGACTCCAGTTTGTTTTGTCAGAGCTCTAATGTCTCAGGTAGCCTAATTAGCCAACCAACACATCTACTAACATATCTATACATATTTATTGGACCACTTATAGCATATATAGTATACAAACTGATTGACAAGAGAATACTGAAAAAGCACGCCACTCAATCGAATCACGGCACAGAAGTCACAAGTCATTCAATTTGTGGAAGGGGCTTCAGCTCCTGTCAACTGTCATATGCTGTGGCTGGTCAGAATGATGAATGAACTGGCTCACAGCGTGAACTAAATCAAAAATTTGAACAGGATTCTGCTGATTGCTGCACTTTCTCATCTCTTTTAATCCCCGCCTGCTGTCGAGGGTCATTGGATCACGCATTTGTCTCTGCCTGAACAACAAATCGCAGAGTTTCTTATTTCTTTCAAAATAAAACAAAGTAAGAAAATCAATCGCCATACATACACACTCACTGATGTGTGCGGCACATTAATCAAAAACTCATTTTGGCCGACCAAGGTCCTGGGCAGAGCCTTCTGGTCGCTGAGGAGCTGAGTGTGATTAGTTGTTCGTTAACCCCGCTGCAGTTCAGTTCAGTTTAGTTTTGGTTCGGTTCGTTGCTTTTGGTTCGACGCGTTTGGGTCTCGATTTTAGTCTTTGGCTTCCGGTTTAAATACTGAATACTCGTGCAAATTGCATCCAATTATTCATATTAAAGGCAACGCATTTAATACTCTTGACTCTTTAGAAGCACAATAGGTGTATTAGTGTATTGTATTGTCTGAAAAGTCGTAAAGATTACTTTTAAAATGGGAATATCTTTGTATAAAACATGAATATATATTTGTTGAATATAACATTAACAGAATATATGTACATATATTTCAATTTCAATTTGAATATCATAGTTTGAAGTGGATTTTTGGGCTGGTTCAAGTAAATCTTGAATATCATTGGGACTTAGTATATATAAAGATAGTGGGAATAGTTTATTTGAAAGTTATAATCAGTCGATTTTTGTATGTTATAATATATTTTATATTTCAAATTAGTTGAATTCAAATAGGAAATTGGATCACGCATGTGTCTCTGTCTGAATAAATCGCAGAAGCTACTTATATAACAATAGAGTATTATGCGATCGGTACCAATGTGCGTTAGGTTTCTCGGTTCTCGGTTCAACCTATTAAATTTTGCGACGTGAATTTATGTAGCGGCTGTCGTTGGCTCTTGCTGCGGTTCGGTTGCTCAATCGAGGTTCGACGCAATCAATTAATTTCGAAATTCAATATGCTACCTCTACTCCTTTGGCATTAGATTGATTTAAGTCTAAGAAAAAATCCATTGTAATACATCAAACACAAACAGGCGCTCATTCATTATTGAAACCTCGATTATAGTTACACGTGAAAAGTAAACAACAATTGCGTCAGTTGCCGAGAAGGGCAGTCAAGCGGCAAATCATCGGCAAAGAAAGATGGACAGAGTGCTAAAGCTGAATGCTCGAGATCTTTTGGTATGTGCCTCCCCTACTACTTCACATTGGCGTACAGTAAAATAAAACACAACTAAGATTTTAATCCAATTACAAGTCCAGATATAAACAAATGTTCATTTATATTAATTATTTTTGTATATGTGGGTTTCTTCTTCTGTATTTTCTTCTTAATTGTATCTGCACATTAAAAAAAAATTTTTTTTTTCTATTTATAGCTTGTAAGGTTCTCTTCATTCACATTATTCATGGTCCAAACGTTTTATGAGGTTTATGAAGAAAGGCAACAATTTTCGCCAACGGTTGTTTACTTTGTACTTGAATAGCTAGTTCAAAATAATTTAAATATCCAATCACTATTATATATTTAGTTTTCAGGATTTGCCCCAAATGCTTTCTTATAAACGGAAACGTTTGATTGCATCAAAATTAAAAAACTTTTTTTTATTATTTTCAATATGTTCGTTATTTCGGCTGTGAATTACGTAAAGTCTGACAGTGCATATGGAGTATGTATGTATGTATGTATATATATATATATATATATATATATATATATACATATATGAATTCATTAAACTTAAACGAATAATTACAAATAAAACACAACATACAGCAAATGAATGAAAACAGAGCGTGGGTTACAGCTTTATCCTATAACTATTGAAGATAAGATATTCTTAGTTAACTTTTGGTTTAGCTCGTCCACGTCCCAACTTCTTAGCGCGTAGCTTGGACATATGGGACATAACCATAAAGGTGCCGGGCAGGGCGAGCAGGAGCAAATAGACCTTTAGGAAAAGCACCATGTCAAATGTCCAATTCCACTTGTTGGGCATATCGACACAAAAGCGTTTCGTTTCCTCAATGTAGGGTATGCTGCGCAGCAGTATAACTCCCTCACAGACTAAGCCCATGGGATAAAGCGGTATCCAGATGGTATAGCGCAGCCAAGTAAGCAGACCATTGTCCCTCTTAACCAGCTGACTGACATAATAGGGATAGCTACGGATAAGAATCAAATGATTCAATCATCAGCATACATATACACATATATTGTAATGGCATTTACCGCACTATCTCTACAAGCGACCATATAACAAAGACGTAGAACACCACCGGCTTGGCATGCATACGCGGCTCCATTTCGATCATTAGGAAGAGCACAAAGTTTCTTCCAGAGATTTGAAAGAAGGGCATCAAGGGGCTGCCCTTTGTGTAGCCAAACAGGGGGTGCATTACCTCCAAGTACTGCATGAGCTGCACAAATTTGAACGATGTTCCCACATATTCGTACGTATGCTTCATGCTCTCCGACCCGTCGCGTATGTAGAGCACACCTATTATAAGCAATATGTGCAAATACCCTACAAACATTGCCAGGTTGTAGATGATCAAGTAAACTTTCTTCGCATGCTCTGTGGAGGAGGAAAAAGAATAAATAGGCGACGCTGATTAAATCACTCCTTTCTCACCTTTCACATAACCGATTTCCTGCTTCTGCAGTTTGTTATACTCTTCCATATAGTCCTCTCGCACATCTCGTGCCCCCTCACTAAGGTCCCCATCGTCCTCCGTCCGCCAGCGATCAAAGTCAATGCGAAGCCAGTGCGGCTTTTGAGGCGTTGCAATGAGTCGCTGCCACCAGGCCGGCTCTGCTTTTCGTATATGCAACTCGATTTTATGGTCGGTGACTGAAAAGGTCGCCGTCTCATCATCGATGGGCAGAAAAAAACGCATCTGGAATTTATAAGCATTCCGACCACGTGCTCCATGCCCGTTTGCAGCAAACGAGAGTGTTGAACTGGTAAACTCTGCAACGACGCCCTTAATACAAACAAAAGCATCAGGAGCCGGTTAGATTTGCTCGGCTAAAAAATATTTTACATTATTGATTTTTCTCAGTGACCCACCTGCGCATCTTTGAGGTCCACCTTGAGCAGCAGCTGACTTTTTGTTTGTGACCAATACACAAATGGACTTAATTCAGTTGGGGCCATTGAATTTGCATTCGACATGGGCGACATAATTTTTGTTCGTATTTTTAACTTCTGTCGGCGAATCAACTAGGCGCATGGTACGCAGCTCATACTTGCAGCTTAAAAACTAAATGGAAGCTGTACATCTCTTAATTGTTCAAATTCATTTTCCCTCTTGCTCTAGTAACACATTGCTTTTAGAAATTTATACTCCGCGTCTTAACACTTTTATTAAATAAACTTTTCCCTAAGTAAAATTAGTGTTCAAACACATCACAATTGAGATCCTTGGAAAATTGCCAGCCCTTACGATAGTTGTAAGCGTGTATCGATTACGTAAAAGCAACCCTGGTTGGAGGCACTATCAAGCTAACTGCTACAGCACGCATAGCATTCAACTTGAACTTTTGATATGCGCGCCAACATTTAAATTTAACTTCAAAACTAATTTCTATAACCCATTGCCACATGTTATTAAAATTAGTTGTGAAATTAAATTTAAATGCAATTAGTAGACAAAACAGATGCGCTGGGTGCTCGTAGACTACGTCAGAGCCACAAGCATTTCGTCACCGTCACCGTTTTTGAACAAAACAATGGAGCATACGTGTTATAGGTCAACTTTATTAACTATATTTAATTTTTGCTAAACTCTTTCTCTCTTATTAACATTCTTTTACTTCGCAGCTTGAACGCACAGATTTCGATATATTTTATGCACAAATAAAAACGAAGCAACAAAGATCACGAGCAAAATGTTACGTTTTCTCAAGAACCGTTAGAAATGGCCTAGACAACACCGCCCATCGCCCCCATCTACATATCTAATCTTCCGTATATGTACATATGTGTTTGTGTGCGTACCTATGTATGTTTGTATGTGTGTGTGCTCGCTCACAGTAATGACGTCATGCTTTCAATATAGCTCGTTCATCAGTTAAACATGTATTAAGGTAAGTACAAAATATGAATATTTAAACTTAATAATCCGGATAAACATCGTAGCAATTGCAAAGTTCTCAATGCATTTCGTTCAATAGATTTATTTCCTATTCGAGTCCACTTAATATATGTACATATTTGTACCGTCTTTTGAAATAAATTTACTAGCTATCCATCCGATTTGTACATTATATTTATTACATGAAAACATTTTATTTATTATCGAATGCGCCAAATAATTCGACGTCGCTAGTTAATTGAATGGCTTAACAAACTGATTCATTTCTTAGTTGAGGTAAGGAGCTGCACACCAGTTTCACTCATCTCTGGTTCCTTTGGTGTTTCGATTTACATCGTTTCTCGATGTCAGCCAGATTTTCTCTAATTTAATAGATTCAATTATATGTGCTCGATCCCATCGTCAGCTCTGCCGACAAAATAAAAAAATCGTGGCAGATATAAGTAGCTGTCTAGTATTTGAAGAGAATTACATTAGGACTACTTCCGCTTCGCTTTTAATTTCTTCTGTTTGTTGTCGTTGGCAGCTGGCAATGGCTAAGGTCAAGTAAACAAATGGCTTTAGCAGGACAGGTGGCAGGAACATTGTTTAGAAGCTGCCATTGTTACACACCCAACACACATACATTCGTGCATACACAAGTGCATGTATGCATGTATGTATGTGTGATTGCGTGCTCACATGACTCCAATTATAATTGTCGGCCAGAGCAGAGCAGAGCGGTAAATGAAATAAAAGTTACACTATACGTAATATCCTGATACATTCACAATGCAATATCAATGTATCTATAATATATGTACATATGTCCTTATCTATGAAAACATATATGTACCTACTTACATACATATATAATACATGCTTTTGTTCTGATTCCAATTTGGTTCGCTGACCACTTGCCATTTTAGGACTCCCTTATAAATAATCTAGAATAAAAGAGTAAATAATCTGTCACGGATCAAACTTTATTTCTGTTCAGACATTTATATATTTATTTTATTGAATAGGGCATCTTACAGTCAGAAATGCTTTTTATGTTGCATATTTTTTAGTATGTTTCATAATTATATTTTAACAACAAATATAACATTTCCATGTTTTCCGCTTGTGAGTGCGTCGCTTTTTTATTTGTGCTACCCACTACATATTTTCTAAATTGGGCATATTGGTTGAGTGCGAATACATGGGGCACGAATGCACCAAATCATCCACCATACGGAAATTTCAACTGTTATTAGAGTTTATATATTATACTAATAGAAGAAACAAATCAGGGCTTTATATTATTATTAAATAATAATTTTGAAGATCTACCATCAGAAAAAAAGATTAGAAGACCCAAATTACTAAAATCATATGGATTTTAGATGCTCTATAAAAGTATATTGCAAGCATATGAAGGAACTAGCATTAAGGAGCACAGGGTATCTGGCAGGCTTTACATGGCACTAAGCAAGATTTTCACTTGTTTTTTCGTTGTTATTCGAATTTGGGAAATGTCTTGCGCACGTGTTGGTGAAACTAATACAAACGCACACATACACACACACACACGCAGAGAGACACAGCTGGCAGACAGTCGCGTCGGGCATTAATATTAACGTTAAGGCAACAACAACAACAAGAAAAACAAAAGACTCATCAAACATGCAGAGTTTAGTACGCAAACACACAAGCTCACACACACACACACATACAACCACAGCGTATATAGGGAGACAGTCAGTCTGTGTATGTGTGTTAGAGCGGGACAGCTTGATGGCTTGGCCATTTTGTTTTGCTGTTGTGACTTTTCCGGTGCGTTTCGCAGTCGCTAGCTGGCTTTTCCGCCGCGTCGCTTTTCAGTTGGCAGCGAGCGTTTTCTTCGATCAAAACTGCGACCGCTTCTGCTGTTCATTTCCACTCTGAGTTCGATTTTGCGGTTTCTGGCTTCTGTTCGTGTGTGCGCGGTGTGAGTGGAGCGTGTGGTGCGTGTGGTGCGTGTGGGGCAGCCATGGCTCTTGTGGCGCACCGCATGATGCTGTCGGCGCGCACTCGCCGCACCCATCAGCAGGTGGCGCGCAATAAGGTGGGCGTCTTGCTGGTGCCCAGCGTGGCCGACTACTACAGCAGAGAAACGGAACAGCCGCAGCAGCAGCAACAGCAGCCACAACAGCAGCCACAACAGCAGCTGCAGAAGCAGCAGCCTCTAGCCACGCCCACCCAGCTGGAGCTGAAGACCGGCAATGACAGCAGCGATGCGAAAGTAAGTGCAACACGTTGCAGTCGCAAATGTGGCTCAAATGCAATCTTGTTGGGAGAACAAGGGGAAGAAGAGCTCTGAGCGTTTGCCAACATTTTCTGCATTTCAACTAAAGTTGATTTTAACCATACAATAAAAAAGAAGAGTCAAAAGGATGTGCATGACTTGTTAATACTCTGGTTCATGCGAAAATGCTGAAAACAAAGCAGCTTTCCGTAGTCGGGAAATATAAATGTTTGTCTTAATGGCCTGAATATTGACTAAAAGGAAAGAAATTGACTAGAAATTAGAGAAGAGTGTTTACATGAATATTTTTGATATCCTTTCTGTATTATACATTTTCAATTAAATATTTCATACTTTATCATCTGCCTTATGATTGTACGCAAACATCATCTCTCCCTCTAACTTCCTAAAATGATCGCAGCATCACTTTAACAGATTTTCGAAAATTTATATATAAGAAAAGTATTAGATCAATTAAAAGTATCGTTGAATTGTAAAAGGGGGCTTACGGAATTATATTAAACAAGTTCAGTGACGAAATGCGCTTGTTCAGCTATTTAATAGAACACCGTCTTATGTATATGTAGTTTATAGGAATGAACCACCCTCTAAAGATATTCCGATCTTCGCACAGCTCTCTATTGTCACTATATATATATGCACATGCCTATATTGAATTACACACTGTTTATACCATATAAACATATACAAATTTAAGTTTACGAAATTTAATATGCCCGTTTTGCACGTTGGCCGAACGATAACATAACACCCAACCATGAGAATGTTTATCTAGTTCTCTTTTTTTCGCTTCTCGCTTGTCCCTTAAGTTTTTTCTCTTCACTTTTGGCTGGCGCCAACTTTATGCGGCTCATTGTGCCTAGACTCAAGTTGCTTTTGTATATCTTGTGATATTTGTTGTTGTTGTTTTTCCTCCATTTCCATATCTCTCCCATATTGTGTTGGTGCTGGTCGGGACTCTGCTTGGCTTGGGGTAGTTTTGTTTATTTTCAGAACAAATCTTTAAGTAAAATAGAAGTTAGCTGAAAAGAATCTTGGCAAACATATATATATATATATATATATATATATATATATATATATATATATATATATATAAATATATATATATATATATATATATATATATATATATATATATATATATATATGTATATATATATATATATATATATATATATATATATTAACATGATAAAAATATAATTATTTTAAGTAAATTTTATTTTATACACAAAGATCATATACATAGAATCCCCAGTTTCATAAGATGTTTAGATTATTACTGATTTTCTCATACGAGTCCCATATATTTATATTCGTGCATAATCAAGTATTTGCAAACTTGTTTATTCTACTCAAGCTTCTCATAGATTACAGTATATACCTATGTATGTACATATACATTTAAGTACGGAATATTTGTTTATTTGAGCCCAACGCGCACATATTCTTTGAACTTTAACCATATATATTATTATTATCATATTATATATTGTTGGGTACATAAAAATGTATCGTTTATTTTGTTGTTGTTGTTCAATTGCATTTGTCAAAGTGTCTGATTGACCAATTGAATTATTGATGTGGGCAGTTCGTGCGGGGCTGGCGATAAGCATTGAGGCAATCCAATGTGATTCGATTTCAGTTGCGTTCCGAGCCACCTCCCTGTTGATTACGCCGGCCCAACTTTCTGTTATTGTCCCAAATGGAATTTTTAATGGACGCAGCGTTTAATAGGAAAGGTGTCGCCATTTGTTTTGGTCTCCCAACTGCATGGCAATGAAAACGAATCATAATTTATTCAATCGAATGTAA